AGATGAAGCCGAGAGGTGGCGCCAGAGTGCCGCCGGACTGAAGCCATATAAGCCCAGGAGAAGAAGAATCATCACTCATAATCACCATAATGTCTTCCGCGGAGTCTGCGAGTCTGGGCCGAGCGCTGTGCATCATCACCGGGGCCTCCAGGGGCTTCGGCCGGGCAGTGGCCCGGGAGCTGTCACGGCTGGTGACGCCGGGCTCCGGACTCGTGCTGGCGGCTCGCTCCGGTGAGGACCTCCATGCTGTGCGGGCAGAGCTGGCCGCCTCAGAGGCGGGCCGAGCCGGTCTCAGGGTGGAGAGCGTAGTGGCTGACGTGGGTCGGACGGAGGGGCTGGAGGCAATTATCAGAGCCGCGAAAGACGCGCTTATCGAGCAGGTGGATCACGTGATGCTGGTCAACAACGCAGGTGAGGACGAACTGCGTGGAGTCACGTGTGTTTAGTGTGTGTTTGGCAGAAAGTCATCATCATCATTATGTGACCCGTTATGTGACTTGGAAGAAAAAAAAAAACAGTTTTATGAATTAAATGTTTGTTTTTGGAAGTGAAATTCTTCTTCTGTGGTCTGCGGTTTAGATGACGTGACCGACACGTTTGTATCTGTTTGTAGTTAATATTTCATGAATGCCTTAAATGTGAGGGAATGGAATTCAAACCTCCATGAGGAGCCAAATTCAGGGAGGGGTGTGTGTGTGTGTGTGTGTGTGTGTGTAGGGGGGTGTGTGTGTGTGTGTGTGTGTGTGTGTGTGTGTGTGTGTTACTGGGCTATGATGGGATGGGGCATAATCAGGAAGTGATGATTACTGGATGCTAAAGGGTGAAATGTTGGGGGGATTCTGTAAGTTTTTGCTTCTTCCTAATTACTTTTTTTGAACATGTCGTTTTTGATTTTGTTTGCTTTTTTTAAATGTATTTTTTTTATTTAAAAAATAAAAAAATAATCCAAATGAATTTTAATGTTTCTGCTTCCTGATGTTTTAATGCATGAACTCTTTAAACCTCTGACTCATGCTGGTTTCACCTCTGACCTTCATTACCTCACCCCCTCCAGCCTCTCTGGGTGACGTGTCACGCTTCGCTGTGAGTTTCAGCGACCTCGCCGAGGTGGACTCGTACCTGTCGCTGAACGTGAGCTCCGCCTGGTGCCTCACCGCCCGGGTGCTGCAGGCATTTCCGCAGCGCCCAGGTCTGAGGCGCACCGTGGTGAACATCACCTCCCTCTGCGCCATCAAGCCTGTCCCATCCTGGGCGCTCTACTGCACTGGGAAGGCTGCCCGGGACATGATGTTCCAGGTGCTGGCACTGGAGGAGCCGGACGTCCGGGTGCTCAGCTATTCACCAGGTGAGGCAGGGGACGTGGCCTGCTGAGCTGATTTGGTTTTCCTTGTAAAGACACAAAGCTCACTGAAGGCAAAATACTTCAGATATGAGTATGGAGGGCTGAAAGGGTCAAAATTCAAATCAAACTGAAGGATGTGAGGACACAGATTACAAATGTGGGGTTAATAAAATACTTCCATGGCTTTTAGCTGAATAGTAAAAAAAAATAAAATTAAGACTGTAAACAAAATAAAATAAATTCATTGTGAAAAAGGAAAAAATGAAAAAAAAAATTCTTTTTTTTTTTTTTTTTTTTGGAAAGCGGTTTAGTTTTGACCTCTCTGGCCTGCCATACCAGACCGAGCTGAAGAAATCTGTCATAATGATTCATTAGCCATGCTGAGCAGTAGCAGGCTTCATGCTGTCCATGACATCACTTCTTGTTTTGTGACCGCCCCAGGACCACTGGATACAGCCATGCAGGTGGAGGCTCGCTCCAGGTCAGCTGACCCCGGCATCAGGAAGTTGTTCAGTGACCAGTTCGTCGAAGGCAAGCTGCTGAGCTGTGAGGCGTCCTGCGCCAAGCTGATGAAGCTGCTTCTGGAGGACAGCTACACCTCCGGAGCTCACGTCGATGTCTACGACCTGTAGACTCAGAGCAGGTAGCACAGGTGCGTCCCGCTGCTCGGCTTCACTATAACCTGAGGTCAGGTGGAACATCTAAGTGCGGAGGTCAGAAAGAGCTTCAGTAAAACAGTGAAAAGTTCAAGGAAGAAAATAAACAGGAAGAAGATAAAGCTTCTACAAAATTAAAATGTTGGGCTGAATAAACACTGTCACGTTGCCCACGTGCTGGCTGCGTGTGTGGTTTCTGAGCAAAATGTTCATGTTTTTGTTGTTGTTGTTGTTGTTGTTGTTTTTTTTCCTTCTTGATTTTTTTCTTTTAGCCCACAGTTTCCTGATGACATCGGCGCAGACCCTAACGTAAGCTCGGGTCGACCCATACACATTCCACAGACTGTACAAAAAGATGGCAACAGCATGACCTCAGCAGAGGGCGCTGATATCTCATGCTGGTTCCCTGTGATGATCTCATCACATCTTGATTCCCGTGCTGTGTTGAAGCCGTTTTCAGGTGCCTTAATTGTTAAAGAGCTTTAAGTGGATCCGTTTGGTGTTCGTTGCTTGGTGCATCTGACATGTAACTTCTTTTGTGATGAGGTCACTTTTGTAAACTTGATATTGGTCAAGTTAGAAATAAATCTGAGAGCAGCTGTGTGGTCAGTTTTTTTTGTTTTGTTTTGTTTTGGGGTTTTTTGATAATTTATGGAAGAAAACAAACAGACTCTTTATTCAGACAGCATCACACAAACAGGAAGTGATCAAATCCTGAGGTTAACAGCGGAGATATAGCCCTTGACCCCACTCACCCACACGCACAACTACAGCAGGTGAGTGCAGGTACTTTTAACACGACCGAGAACAGGAATGGCTGCAGCTCAGGTGTTCTCCACCTCCTCATTGTCATTACAGGACGAATGAGTCGTCTTGAGATGGTAGCAAAGCTGGGCTTAAGTCTGACTTAAGGGTTTTTAGCTGGGAGCACTTCCTGTCACCCGTTCACAACTGTGACTGTACTTTGTCTTCCCAGCAGAGTTGTCCCACTTTGATCACTATATTCTCTGCTCCAAACTAACCTTTGACCTCAGTGTGACTGCAAAGCAAGACTGTCAGCTGACTGATGTCCTGTGTGCGACCCACACACAGTGTGTGCGTTGGTCAAGTCACACAGGACTCTCCATAAAGAAACGAATAATGGAAAATTTCTTTTTAAAATAAAAACACAAAATAAGAATAAATAATTTAAAAATAATGAGCCATGTGGAAGCCTGAAACGATTTATCGAGTAATTCAGTTTTACACAGAAACACTGAGAACACCACAGCGGCAGTGGTGAGGACTCTGGCACAGTTTAACGTGGGGGCAAAGTCTGTTTACACACCAAAGAGCAAAGGGGCGGAGCTCAGGCAGAGTGAAAGAAAACAGCAGCTGTTCCTGTGACCACCATTAAACCCTTTACTGAGCTGCAGGAGCGCCCGACCA